TTAATTTGCTTTGCACATGCTATTGCTCAAATATTTTGATTTCAAAAGCGGTGACATTTAAGAGCTCTGTATTTGGATACATATAACAACAACAAAACACGTTAAAAGAGAATTTAAATATACTGTAGTAGTCATGTGGTAGGCGTGTGCCATCAAGGAACATGGCTTAATGAGTGACATCAGGACCTGGAGTCATTTAGCATGTGTGTGAGCGTCTGAGTGTGAGTGGTGGCCAACAGCAGCCTCGATTCTTCTTATTTGGTATTGGAGTGTTAAGTGAATTAAAGTGCTTCAATTGCTCATTGTGCCCCTCCCCACTTCTCTTGAGTAGCGGTTGATCAGAAACTTGCTTGTCACTCAAATTTTGCCCCACAACCCAAAGCATAAATATCAACCAAGTAACTCAAAAATTCAGAATTTGGGCGCCCATAAGTCAAGTTAAATATGATCTGAGCGAGACTTAAAGCTTTGCCTGCGAAATACAAATGAATTTCTATGGGAACGGTTTTTCATTTGAACAACTCGCAAGTCAACCGGCATCATGGAGCGGATTGCGTTCAACTTTGGAGGTACCGCTGCGATTAAAGGCGAGTGGAGGGGGAAAAAAAAAAACCACTGGGAGAAAGGCAGGGAGTGGTAATTTGCCGTAACTCACCACTAAATAAATCAGTGTCATTGTAAAAAGCTTCCATTGTATCATTGATCGCGTCCACTGAAACACAACAAAACAAGCATTCAAACAAGCCCGCACTTGGACATGCTTTGTCTAACCGTCGGGTAAGCCGCGCGCAGTGCGCGTCAAGGCGGGCGCCACTTACGGTTGAGGACCTTGACCAAAAAAATAATAATAATAATAATAATAAAATAAAAATGGGGGTGTAGCAAATGAGGAACGATCATGCTCCGGCCAATAACAGCAGGCTTCGTCGCTCGCAGCGGACCAGACACACGGCAGCTGCGACAATATGTCCTTTCAGTCCGTCGGCGAGTCGGCCTCTGGCGTCTCCGAAGATGGAGTCGGAGATAGGAAAACGTGGCTTCTCTCCTACGCCGTCGGCTAACCGTCGGGCAAGCCGCGCGCAGTGCGCGTCAAGACGGGCGCCACTTACGGTTGAGGACCTTGATGGCGATGGGCTGCTTCTGCTGGATGGTCTGCGTGTGCGGGAAACGGGCGTAGCAGATGTAGTCGTTCCTGGAGTCCTCGCGAAGCACGTTGGAGAAGTAAAGGTCTCCGTTTAACGACTGGGACACCCTGTTGCTTTGGGGCAACCGCTGGAAGTCTGATGTGGAGACAACCCCATCACAGCAATGAGACTTAACTGGACATTTGCCATTACGGTTCGTCTTTCTTGAATTATTCGTCAGGGAAACATCGCATATGAAGCCCATTTGCGCAATCTCAGCGTGTGACGTCGCATATGTGTGTGTAGATGTTTACTGTTGTCCATCCAGAAGACAATCGGGGGAGGAAAGCCAGCGGGAGGTCGACATGGCAACACCAAGGACACGCCCTCCTGAATGACGATTGGCTTGATCTTCTCTTTGGACCACAAAGGCGACCCTT